ATCATCTGCCATTCACAAGGTGGGGGGCTGCAGCTGGGGGCTGATCTGTGTCAGATCTTTGTGAACTCAGCCAGGAACGGGATTTACATGACTATGTGCCATCTCTGAGCCGGCATCTCAGTCCAGGAAGTAGATGGTGACCCCGGATGATGCCTGACCAAAGATGGCGCCGTCCTCAGATGAAGGGGGGAGTCCTGTGATCTCCGAGAGGTTATACATTCCGGGGGGGTGTTACGCTGACCCGTGCTGCTCAGCATGCGGCACTCACGCCCGTGTTGGGACACAAGGCACATGCTACGAGACAAGTTATAATGTTTCCTAGAGTGACCACATATTTATCCGACCCCTCCCCCCCACTGATCCTAAAGCTGGAGGCGTTTCCTGGAGATCATGTGATCGCTGCAACTGGCCGTGATCACATGATCATGAGTTCATCCTACAAGCTGCCATGTGACCAGGTGACAAATCAGATATTCATGTGTGTGCGCAAGGCCGGCAGGAAAGGGTTAAATGATAGTGACATCACATGGTCAGAATGATGTTTAATTGATAGGTCACACCCTGCCCCGCCCCCCCCGAGGAAGACGCCAGCAGGGGCCACACTGGTTGTGGAAAATGGAAGGGACTGACATGATGCACATAATGGGATTGTGGATAATCCCTTTTACACGGCAGCGCCAGAGTCTCCAGCACGGTGACACAAGCCGGGCCGGTCTACACTCGTCTGCCAGCCCGCCTTAAAGGGAAAGTACGCCGTACGCTAGTCCCGGGCTGAACGAGCACTCAATTTTCATCATGGCCGACGTCACACAGGCTCCTCCCCTTCAATCTGCAGACTCTCCGACCACGGCAGCTGCTGCAGAACCTCCCAGGAAACCAAACTTCCCCCGAGCGTGCGCGGCTCCCCAATGGCGGTAAATGACCCCCTCCCCCACCCGGATATCTGGGCCGCTAGTTGGTAAATGATCTCAGATGCAGCGCTAACCACAACTTCCTGTTACACAACGTGTCTGTCAGCAGAAAAGTCACAGAAAATGTGCAACATTGTACATGAAAGGGGAAGTCCTAGTGCCAATATTTAACTTGTAGTAGCATCCAACTCTGCCCCTCCCACAATGGTGAGATTCCCCCAGTAGTTTGTGTCTCTGCCCCTCCCACAATGGTGAGATTCCCCCCAGTAGTTTGTGTCTCTGCCCCTCCCACAATGGTGAGATTTCCCCCAGTAGTTTGTGTCTCTGCCCCTCCCACAATGGTGAGATTTCCTCCAGTAGTTTGTGTCTCTGCCCCTCCCACAATGGTGAGATTTCCTCCAGTAATTTGTGTCTCTGCCCCTCCCACAATGGTAAGATCCCTCCCAGTAGTTTATGACCTTGTGGGAGGGGTAGAGACACAACAAAGACATTTGGACCTCAGCTGATGATCCGAAACTAAACCTGAAGGGCAGTTTGATTACCGTCAGTCAGCACTGAGGGGAGCCCTGCGCTGTCCCTATGAACCCGTATTGAGGGGTACAGATGACTGCTCTCGGAGTGGTAATGTACACAGAGCCGGAGCGCCATTAATGAACACCAGCTGCATCTCCCCCGAGCGCGGCGTTAACGAGGTGCCGACGAGATTCCTCACCGCGCCGGGCGAGTCTGAGAAACTTTATTGAAATATTTCCACTTCGGTGAGACATTATTTTCCTTCACGGTAACTGAGAAAATGGCGGCAATCGCCGAAACCTCGTTCCACGTATCTGTCTGGAGCTCAGGCGCTCTGCGGTCACGGCGACTGTGGACCAGGTGGGAGGAGCCAGAGATGTCATTGGCATCCGCTGGATTCATGACCGGCTGTATGAACGTTGCCGCACGGCGGGTGAATCTACACGTACAGGAACCAATAAAAATAAAAGGTCGCCGTACTCACCATAAAACCCTTTGCTTCCAGTCCGCTGAGGGGACACAGGAAGTGAAACCTTTGGGATATACTGCCGCCTACAGAAGGATTGAACACGGAAACACAACAGTGGGCCAGCCCAGGATAACCACCAGCTACTACCAGCAAAACCGAGATGAGGATCATAAATACAGAGGTCCTTAAGGTGAGTACAAAGTCCTATCTCCTCTCTCATTGGAAGAAGTTTTAGGTCTCGCAAATAGTCAGTAGTTTCCAGAGACACCCCAAAATATAGTCAAAGCTTTCCCAGAATAGCGGAGGCCATTGTAGCCACAACGAGGGGGGCGCCTAGAATAATGCCCATCGGTCTGGAAAGGGGTTTCCTACAAGCTCACGCAGGAGGTCAGGTGTCCACACAGAGGGGAATCTGGAGCAGCCGTGCACAGCAACCAACCAGCTTCTCTCATTCATTTTCAAAGCTTAACTGAACAAAATGAGGGAGATGCTGATTGGTTGCCATGGGCGACTGCTCCAGTTTTGATAAATTCCC